GATTTACAGAGACTGTGTGTGTGTGTGTGTGGCAGGGAGGCAGCAGGTGCAGGATGCAGGTTCGGCGTTGGGCTCCTTTATCCCGCAGTAAGTGGAGGGGACAGCTGAGCTCTCGTACCCGTGGGGAGGTGGAGGTGGGGGCGGGGAAAAGACACACTCCTCCGCCAGCTGAGCTCATTAGCATCGCTACACACAACACAAACACAACATCAACCCGCACTTGAGAGCAGCTATCATGTTTATGAGAGTACAGAACGACTATAAACCTACCCGGAATCCTGTTAAACAGCTGTCACGAACAATCGCAAATTCGCTTTTCTTCTAGTTATCGTGACACAGCTATGAATATTGGGTAACGAAGGGTATAATTGCTTAAAGATGAAGCCTGCAAATGCATATAAGCATCTATAACAACATGAATGAGATTGTGCAGCTTGGTTAGAAGATTTTTTTTATTAGTTTTGTAAGTGTTCTGACTTAATAAATGCATGTATTTGATTGTTTTGTGTGTGTGTGTGTGTGTGTGTTTTTTCAATGTCATGACCAGGATGGAATCAATCATTGTCTAATCAATAGGGGAGGACAGGCGAGATTATTGACCAGCACACGTGCCTCACCAGGACCCTCAAACATGTCTGTAAGCTCGTCCTGCTTGTGTCGTTTTGCCATTGAAAACCCCAATCCTGCACTCTTAGGGGCCATTCACACAGATCGTATATTTGTGTTGAAAAACGTGAAACATGAGCAGTGAAATGGGAAAAATACACAAGGTATCGAGACTCGTTTATTAAAACTGAACTTGTTTTAACATTAGACTTAACATTTAACATTTTAGAACAGAAGACATGAGCACAATGGAAAAGCAGCGCAGTGGGATGCAAAATTTTGTTCTGTTTCAACCGCCTTGTACCCGAAAGACACAAAACATGTTTTTGTATTTAAAAGCACAAGATGGGGCAGTGGAATAAAAAATGCAATGACTATAGACGTTTTTTTTTTTTTAAAGGTTAACTACATTTAAGTATAACATTTTTAACGCAGTGTGAGATGTGAGCACAAAGGTTAAAGACAAAAGTTTAGCGCATGTTTACATAAAACAAAAAGTAGCACATGGGATGCAAAAACTTTGTAAAAAAAAATTATAAATTCTTCTAACTTATGTTTGTAAAACACTGTTTTTAAAAAAAACCACGAGATGCCAGCACTAAAGTCAAAAATGTCAGTTTAGCGCATGTTTACATAGAAAAACTATGTAAAAGTAGTGCAGTGGAATGGGAAAAAAAAACATTTTCTGTGTGAACCACCACTTATAATGTGTGCACACCAAAAGCGAAGCGAATATTCGCATCGTGTTATCGCTCTAGATTACTCGCGGGATGTTTTTCATGTAAATAAAAACACTGTGCATGCTCTCCTCCATTTTCTGATACAACCGGATATGTCAATAAGCTCTACACGGATTGGCTTCCGCAACAACGCATGATGCAAATTTCCCGCTCGAGTTAAAAGTTTTCAACTTGTGTGGAAGATACGATTGAGATGAATATTGCACCTTTGCAATAATATATTGCACTCAGCAATCGTGTCGTCCAATTTGTGTCATTCGCATCACCCAGCACAAATTCCCATCTATTTGTGTCTTTGTATGTAATATACTCGCGCAAATAATTGAATTCGCTTTTGGTGTGCACACACCATTAACCCTAAAAGACAGAACACATTTATTCATTTAAAAACACAAGATACAGGGCAGTGGAATAAAAATCACAATGTCTCAAGATGCATTTTTTAAAAATGGAAAACTTCTTTTAAATTGAGCGCCATTTTTAAACTGCTGCGTTAGGGACCATTCACTAAGAATGCGTTTTTATGTTTAAAAATGCAAGACGCAATGTAATAAAATGAAAACAAACGCAAGACCAATTGACATGTTTTTAAAAAAAGTTGATTTACTTTTAACTTTGCCATTGCTTTATTTTTAGAACGACATGTTGTGCGAGAATGTCTAACCCTAACGCACTGGATAGCTGGCCAATCAGAGCACACCTCACTTTTCAGAACGATGAGCTTTGTAAAAATCGACGTGTTTCAAAAAGGCGGGGCATAGAGGAGAAACAATAATGTACAGTATGTGGAAAATAATGTGTTTTTTTAAACTTAAACCGCATAAACACATTTCATTACACCAAATACACAAAATAATGTTATTTTTTTAGCAATGTCATATGACCCCTTTAACGACGGGAAAATGGTCGGCACCCCGGGCGCATGGTCTAAACCAGTGAATCTCAACCTTTTGGGGTACCGGCCCCCAGCCCAATTCAGAACCATCCTCAAGGACCCTCAGAACAAAATTGACTCATCTATGTATCATTTGTGTCTTTGTGAGGACCAAATGCAGTCAAGTATTATTCATTATATGGACCCCCTGGCCTTACGTCAAGGACCACTAGGGGTCCACGGACCCCTAGTTGAGAAACACTGGTCTAAACGGGTTGTCCCTATTCTCTTAATGAGTAATGGGTGTTTTTTGGGCGTAACGTGCAATAAACCAATCAGAGTCTCATCTCCCATCCCCTTTAAAAGCCAGTTGCGCTCACGCCATGGCGGGTTCGCTATTTACATGGCGGAATGTAATTTTTCATTTTTAAAAATGTTTGTGTGCTGCTGTGCGTCCCTGTGTGTGTAATAAGCAAAGTGTACGAACGTTGTGCACCCGCCTATAGGCGCATATTACTAACGCACTCTTTAAATAACAAAGAAAAAATATAGCGCCAGACTTTAGACCAGGTTCGAGTTGGTCTATGGCGCAGTTTATTTTCAGTTCCTCAAAATAGCAACGCACCAACAATGCGACTGAACACCTCTTTTTTAGACCAGCACGCCCATGGGCGCACAAATGGGCGCAAATGCATTTGCTATTTAAACAACGTGGCGCAGGACGGGAAAATGAGAACTGCGTCGGGCTGAAACTAGCAAAAACACTTGCGCCACGCCTTGCGCCGGGTGTATGATAGGGCCCCTAGAGATAGAAGATTTTTAAGTCCTTAAAGGGACAGTTCACCCTAAAATGAAAATTCTGTCATCATTTGCTCACCCTCAAGTTCCCTCACGCTAGCCATTGACTTTAATTGTATGGAAAAAATAGTGTGGAACTATGGAAAAAGTCAATGGCTTTCGTCGACTGTTTGGTTACCAACATTCTTCAAAATATCTTCTTTTGTGTTCAACAGAATAAAGAAACTCATACAGGTTTGGAACAAGTGGAGGTTGAGTAAATTATGACAGAATTTTCATTTTTAGGTGAACTACTAAGTTATTCTGACTCCACACAATTTATAGCATAATGTTAATGACCAACACATTTTTTTCTAAAAATGTATTTAATTTTCTTCACTGTATTTCACTGTATTCCCGCTCCTACTAAAATACTAACAATATATGAAGGAAAAAAAACAAGCCGTCCCTCAAAAGCCAGTTGTTTTATTTCATAGGAACATATAAATAAATGTAACAAAATACATTAGGTTGGTAGCTTTTTGCGTTGCACGTACCATAATACTGATATCCTTCAGGACAGCACGCTAATGGTGTCGGACTGCACTGTAGAGGCATAACAATGTGCTGGCTCATGGAGAAATATCCAATCAATTTACTAAAGAGCATTTAGAGCTGATGATCAATGCGACTGCAGCGTGTATATAAACCTCTTTTGACTGATCTATTTACTCGTCAGCAGCATGGAGAAGGTTTCGTATTAGAACCGAATGCAAAAGCAACAGAGGATTTAGATGAAACAGAACGTTCAGAAGATAGATAAACATTGATGTTCATTGGTCTTTTTGGCAAACACATTTAGAACATCCTTTGCAATAACACTTGAGTTTAACTTTCAGTACATGAAATATCCTTGCCCTTCATACACGATTGTACTACAGATATAATATTCTGTTGTAACGATAGTACCATTCTGGCAAAAAAACGAGCCAATGAATGTGACTCAAGGTGTGGTCGGCGAAATTCATCCAGTCATTCCAATTAAACAGCGCAATTGAGTTTCGCGTGAGGGCAAAAAAAGTTCCCATGTAGATTTTGCTCATGTCCAAGTTGGTCACGTGAATTCTCCACACGGACCAACAGAAAGCTGATTGGTTTAAAAGTGATTTCTGTTTGAGCTGGACTTCGATTCTGCGCTATTTACAATGGACAATGTGCCTGTTTTCCGCTGAAAGTTCACTAATGTGACCACACCTTCAATAGCGCGTTTTTTCAAGGTACCACTGTAAACTAAGGCCCATTCACACCAAAACAATAACTACAGTGTTAACTATAAAGATAAATGCAAAGTTCTATCATGAAAGATGGCGCAGGCCGATAGGTTTTAACTTAATATGATATAATCACATGATTACTCACATGGTGTAGCTGATTGGTTTCTTTCGCATCAGCAGTCAATGAGCTTGCTGTTCAACATTCAAATATTTGGCTAGTGTTTGTTGTAGCAGTTGCAATGCGCTTCAGAAACCCTCCACCTCCCACAGCTCCACCTGTATAGATCTGCTATGGGTTTATGTCATGTATGTTATATAAGGGGGTTATTTCCTATATGTTATATGTGCAGCGGCAATATTTCCTTCATGCTCACAGCAGCATGTTTGTGGATGTATTGACAGTAGCAAGTCTTGGTAGCGTAGCAGATCTATTAACACATTAACCTTGCCATGTATATTACTGTGCTAAACTCTCAGAGAGTTGTAATGACTGAACTATATTAGCATCCACTGCAACGCGCAATAACATGCTGTTTATTACAAACAGCACTGCAGTTTTGTCATCTGCCGCTTTAAATACTCAAACTATTTAAAGCAGGATGGATTGGCTGCCAGTGTTTTTGTCATTCCTCAGCTGGAAAGTATTTCCAACGATATTGTTCCTCTGTATCATTATCATTATAGTTGTGGACTCTGCTATTTTTATAACTTTAGAATGATTTTTAATACTATATATTTTGTCATTACTGTTATTGTATTTGGTGTGAACAGGCCTTTAGCCATAACAGTGGCTACAGGGATGAATTCACCCAAAAAATGAAACTGGATTGTAATGGGTAACTTAATAGGGACCGTTGTGTGATCATTGCCATAAAACTCCAAAGGTCGGTTAAACATAATACTGCCGATTACACGAACTCGTCCCTGACATTTCTGACGTTATTGTTTACATTGACTGCAATAAAATGTGGTTCTGGTACAGTCTTGTCTTCAGTTAGTGCTGTAGGCGTCTGTGTCGTAGTACGCGGATTGAAGCTGTGCTGTTTTGAGTCATTAAACGGGTCACCAGGTCCAGACTGAGTCCTGCCACCTTCTCGCCATTCACCTCTAAGATCTCGTCTCCGACCCCGAGCAGCCCTGCGTAGAGTTTCTCCATATTGCTGTCGCCCATTTCTTCAACGTACACCCCTTAAACATAAAGCCGGTTAGTCTTAAACTTTCCGACTAAGTCAGAAGTGTATGAAAACAAGAGCGGGAGGTCCCTCACCTGAGTCTGGCCTGCCTTTTCCTCGTGAGATGAGAAAGCCGAAGGGGCCGTTGGGGGGCCTGGAGAGTTCCAGCAGGATGGTGCCGTCAGGGAAGGCCTGGGCCATGCGTCCCACCGGACGCACCGCACTGGGCCGCCCCACGTCCTCTACACTCAAAGCACGCTGAAGATCCCTAAAACACACAGATTTATCTACTTAAAAAGACCACAAAAGTGCAACAGAACTATTTTAGTGCCAGATTATATGGCGAGTTACTATATTATTTTGAATTATGTTCAATTAAGCAGTTCTATTTTAATATTTGTTATTATTTTCTTCAAATGTGAGTGGA